CCTCGACGTACGACCACAATTTAGCCCGACATTTCTGTTGCTAATTGAGACATCAGTTAAGTGAATTTTGCCCCATTTTATTCTTGCCACAGTGATTAAACAAATCGCTGCAGTTGTTAAGTTAGTAAGCCGGTTGTTAAGTGAATCTGGCTTTCCCCATTGCTTTTGCTCGCCAGAAGGTTGCAAAAGGGGATCACGTGACCCCGGGACACTGCAACCGTCATAAAGATGAGTCAGTTGCCAAGCATCTGAATTTTGATCACGTGACCACGGGGATGCTGCAACGGTCGCAAGTATGAAAAGCAGCCATACGTTACTTTTTTCAGTGTTGTCATAACTTTAGTCACTAAACAAACTGTTGTTAAGTCGAGGACTACTTTTAAAGCGATAACGATCAGCTCAATAAAAATATTCTGACTTTAATCAATCAAAGATGAGGGGAGCAAGTGGTCCTTCCAATCAAATACCTTTTAGGAAAGTTCCATTTCCAGCAGCTCATTAAAAGGAGTGGAGCAACTCTTTTAATTCTAAAGGGATGATATTCTAAAAAGAAAAGCAACAGCTAAAAAGCAAGACTTCTAATCTTTCTTCTCCTTACTTCCCAGAAGTAGAGGATGATTAAAAATTCCAGGTAACAACATACTAGATCAGGGGTAGGCAACCTTGGCTCTTTTATGACTCATGGACTTCAACTCCCAGAATTCCTGAGCCAGCATGGCTCAGCTTGGAAACCTCTCCCTTTCCCCTCAGCGTGGCTGGCTCAGGAATTCTGGGAGTTGAAGTCCACAAGTCATAAAAGAGCCAAGGTTATCCCTGGGTTAGGCCTAGGCCGCTTTATGACTCGTGGACTTGAACTCCTAGAATTCCTGAGCCAGCATGGCTCAGCTTGGAAACCTCTCCCTTTCCCCTCAGCATGGCTGGCTCAGGAATTCTGGGAGTTGAAGTCCACGAGTCATAAAAGAGCCAAGGTTGCCTACCCCTGGCCTAGTGTACAGATAGTCCTTCTATCAACTGTCCAGCCAGCGAATCCAGAAAAAGGAAACTCCCGCGACATTGTTTTCCGAGAAGATAAAGCTTTACTGAAGAAACCACATTGGCACAGAAACCGTGAAACCAGCTCTGGGTTTCTCGCGCAAAAGCCAGCGTAGTTAATCTGCCCCTTTTACCTACGGGCTACCCACAGTCCAAAACCTCCACTAATCACACCTGTTCATTTTGTTATGAGAAAGTCTGCCACGCCGTGGGACATTGCTGGCATCAGGGTGTCTGCCCTTAGGATGCCAGCCATGCCCCACGGACCCAACAGCTGCTGTGCTCCCTACCCTGCGTTCCAACCACGCCCCCCATTATTGTCAAGCTGTGAGCAAAGAGGTAGTGTACCTGACTTACAAGCTGATTGTTAAGCAAGTTACATCAAATTTGATCCTTTTTTTTTCCTACGGTTGTTAAATAGATCGCTGCAGTTGTTAAGCGGATCTCTTTTCCCTCACCGACTGCTTGTCAGAAGCTGACTGGGATGCGTGGTGTTGAAAACATTAACTAAAACAAGTATGCTTGTTCCGTTGGCTCTTTTATTGGCAATGAAAATTTTATTTAAAAAAAAAATAGTAAAGCAGCAAAAAATACTGAGCGAATAAATAAATAAACAGAATTGTTTTGTCATCTCCATACAGCTGATGGCCTTCATCCAAAACATTAAAATACTGCCATAAACAGAATAAATGTGCATGAATTAATGCTTTTTTTAAAAAAACCCAGCTGGAATACAAAAGTAATACTTTTGATATATATATATATATATATATATATAGATATGTATATATATATTTAATAAAATACAGCACAGAGCTATTCGATAATGGAAAATAAATCAGAATACAGGTTTGTTATGTACAATAACAATTAAGGCCTAATTCACATTATATAAAGCACATTAGGAATTTGGTCGACTCGGAGAGTCTGCAAAAGGAATTAAGAGAGGGTAATTCTCTGGATGACTCCATCAAGGTATAACCTCTTGCCTGTGAATAAATCTAATCAATCTTTTCATATATATGGAAAAATATAATTATTGCTCAAAGACTAACTCATCTGACAGACATAATACTATCAACCCACATGAATTAGTTTGCACTTACGGGCTGTATTTGAAGCGTTCTGCTGATCTCAAAGACACCTAGACCCACACGTACGTCACCATCACTTGAAGGCTAGAAAACATGGATTGAGACTTCAGATGGTCTTCTTATCTCCATCCCTTAAGGCAGGAGTGTCCAACCTTGTCAACTTATAAGGCTTGTGGACTTCAACTCCCAGAATTCTCCAGCCAGCATGGGAATGGCTGGGAAATTCTGAGAGTTGAAGTCCACAAGCCTTATAAGTTGACTTGGTTGGACACCCCTGCCTTAGACTAATGAGAAACGGCCTCTACAAATATCATCCTAGACTTGTCAAAATTCTTCTCCTTTAAAAAAAAAAAAATAGAACGAAAGGTTTTCTTGGTATGTTTCCTTCAGTTCTATTCTCAGGAAAGATGACATGCAAAACGGAGAAGCAATGGAAATGTAAGGTCCTGTATTTCCCACTGGAGTCATCATACCTGCACAATTAATTTTGTTGCATATCTTTTGAAACGGATAGCTTATCGGGCTGCAGACTTCATAATATTTGAGTGGGAGGATTGGGGATTTGTAGAAAAATGATAAAGAGAGCAGGGAATGAGGTAGGATGATTTAGACCAGTGGTTCTCAACCTTTCTAATGCCGCGACCCCATAATACAGTTCCCCATGTTGTGGTGACCCCGAAACACTTATACATCACCGGGTGCCAGGGGCGTGGCCAAAGAAAAGGGGAAAAAATGGCGACCCCCGTGAAATGGTCGTTCGACCCCAAATGGGGTCACGACCCACAGGTTGAGAACCACTGATTTAGACTGTACCTAAGAATAAAGTTCCTGGCTCCAGAACACGATTTTCCATTACTGAAACCTCTTTTAATCACACCCCCTTTGAGGACTTTTTAAATGTCCAAGGGCTAAAGAGGATTGTAAGTCATCCAATCTGTGCTGTTTAGAACTCCATATTGTAGTTTGGGACAATTCCGTTACCAGCTAAACTAAACTTACTCTCTGAAGCTTTTGGAAAGAAATATTCAAATAGGGGCAGATGGCTTAATTCACAGCAAAGACAGATCCTTATGGACTTGGTTTGGAGAAGCGTTGTAGGGGGCTAACTTAAGTTTCAGTGCCACTCAACTTTTGTGATGAGTTCTTAGCTCAAGGTTTGTACTTTGCACTGGATGAAAGAACTACTTGAATGAACGCGAAGTCGATAGCAGTGGTGGCACTTCAAAATCCCTGCTCCTGAAGGAACACATATGATCGTTCTTGGGTGAAGCAAATCTTGGCTGAAGGACCCATTCGCACTGTGGAACAGCTGTCTTCATCTTAATACTTTCCAGAAACGTGAACAGACGACAGGCTGACTGCTGAGTTCTAGAAACAAACTTACACATCTGGAGACCATACACACTAAAGTCTGCACATCTGGAGGCAGCTGTATCGTGGTTCTTGGGCACATTCAGGCATTGCTTAAGTACGCCTTAGAGATTGTACGTTGCTCAAGAAAACTCACTTGACAAACCAATTGTCCTTTGAACATCAGCCGATAACTTTTTTTCATGGTATCAAATCCTGTTTTTGTTACAATTCTAGGCAAGGAGAGATTAGGTTTCTCTCACGGAATCAGCAAAATCCAGAATGCAGCATTTCCAGGAAAGGAAAGGGAAATATTTACGAAGAGTTTTGTTCTATTGGGGGATTGAACCTTCTCTTTTGTTAAAATGAAACTTTTGTACGCACACACACACACACACACACACTACTGGTTTCAGCTGGAGTTGAGCCCTGCACAAGATATGAGCGTGTATTTTTAATCCTTTGTCTGTGTTCTCTTTCTTGGGCAAATAGGGATTATCTTAAAATTGGAGTCGCCTTTTTTTCAGGTGAATGTGTTATCACTCCAAGAGCATTTTATCCATCTCTCTACTCTCAAAAAAAGTGAGTACAATTCATAAGGCCTGAATTCTGATTTTATAGTGTATCGTAATGAACATAAAATTTCGAATAATTCTGAGACGTTTTGATAATACTCAACAATGCAGAAACGTCCGGAAATAACTCAAAATATAGTCTTGTGTTCTGTTTGACATAATACTTAAAATGGTCAGAAATCTAATTGCTAAAACAACTTACCACGAACTGTGACTTATGTGCTTATTCCTATTTTTTTTCTGAGACATGCATTCTTCTTCTGTAAACCTATTCTATTATTTTGGGTAGTAATTGGGTGACAAGCTATGTGAGAAATAAATGTGCTTCTATTTAAATAAATGATCATTTCTTCAGAATCTTTTTGCATTGTCATCATTCTGGACTGAAATAACTTTGCAAACAGTTTATAGAAATACATACATATGTAGGTCTTTGGTTATTCGGGTTTTCTCCCACGTAAAATTGGAAGTGTCTTGGCGACGTTTCGACGAAGTCCCGTTCGTCATCTTCAGGCTGGTGTTTTCAGCTTCGTGCTTCGAGGAGCAATGTGTGGTCTTAGCTGTTTCTTCCTTTTAACTGCCAGTGGGGGTATGAACTGATTGGGTGGGAGCTTGGCTGTGTTCTGATTGGGTGGAGGTGTGTTCCACAGCTAAGCTCCCACCCAATCAGTTCATACCCCCACTGGCAGTTAAAAGGAAGAAACAGCTAAGACCACACATTGCTGCTCGAAGCACGAAGCTGAAAACACCAGCCTGAAGATGACGAATAGGACTTCGTCGAAACGTCGCCAAGACACTTCCAATTTTACGCGGGAGAAAAACCGAATAACCAAAGACCTACATACAAACACCTGCGAAAACCTCAGAATATATATATATATATATATATATATATATATATATATATATATATATATATATATATATATATATATATATATATTCATTCTATAGGCAAGGCATTAGGGTGGAGCTGTCCAACTATTTCACATCCTGTGGCCTGAGCATTTTTCATCAATTTTATGTACAACCCAAACCAAGTTGGACTGATGGACCTGTTTTGCAAAAAAATATGTTGTTAAGCAGCTGGCCAACCCCATAAATTGTAAGTGGCACAAATCCACATTATAATGGATGATTGTGCCTGTCCTGGCTATAATACAAGAACACTGTAGTGGTAAAAATAAAATAAAATAAAATAAAATAAACGGTGAGAAATTCCTTTGGCAAGACATTGGACAGGAGATATAGTATTTTGTTCTTTGATAGGCATATTCCTTATGGCAAAATATCTTAAATATAAACTTCATTATCATAAAATGCTATCTAACTAGGAGGTCTTGAAATGCTAAATCTATCTTTACAATGTGGAGTTTCAGGCCCGGGGATCTTTATAAGTGGGAAAAATCCACTGGCTACTAAAAAAAAAAAAAAAAAAAAAAAAAAGGGGGGGATCTCACAATGGCCGTAACACAAGAAAACCCACCACAAAACAAACTTCAAAACTCTTTTCTTTTAAGCTTCAACAAGTTTGGACGTTGTGACTCTTTGTGGTGATGGAACACCACATTGTTTTGATCGTCACACACATTCATTCATACCTGTGTAGACTCTTTCTCTCTCTTTCTTACGTACCTACACACGTACACAAACACAACTTTCACGCTGCAGGCATGGCATCATTATGGGCAAAACCCAAGTTATACCTGACCTAAAATGGAACTTTATCCAATTTTTGTCCTTCAACTCTCTTTCAGCTACCTTGCAGGAGTGGACATTCCTAGCATGACCAATTATGAAACATACTAAAGCTTGCAACCTAGTAATAACTGAAGAAAGCTATATGTTTGCCTTTTCTTTAATATTTAGGATCCCTCACCCTGAGCTGCAGCTTCATCACCACATCCCCAACTAGCAACAGGTTGGGTAAGATCTACCAAGCTCTTATCAACACATAATGTAAAGCTGGAGTCTTCAAACTTAGCCCTTTTATGACTTGTGGACCAACTCCCAGAATTCCTCAGCCAAAGTACCTGGCTGAGGAATTCTGGGAGTTGAAGTCCACAAGTCATAAAAGGGCCAAGTTTGAAGACCTCCTGGTGTAAAGTGATGCTACACAAGAGTAAACAAGGATAGAGGGAGAACTTAATTGAAAATGGCATCTTAGATAGCAACTGCCATGGATGGGGGTAATGCAGTCCTGCTCTAAAGCAAGACCTGCAACTAGAAACGATGTGCCCACATTCACACATGTTCTTCAATTAAAATGGAATAAATTAATCCCTAATCCAACTGCATAGAGCAGAGGTAGGGAACGATGGCCCCTTTATGACCTGTGGACTTCAACTCCCAGAATTCCTGAGACAGCTATGAGGGACTTCAACTCCCAGAATTCCTGAGACAGCTATGAGGGACTTCAACTCCCAGAATTCCTAAAACAGCCATGCTGGCTCAGGAATTCTGGGTGTTGAAGTCCACAAGTCATAAAAGTCATATTGTTCCCCACTCCTGACATAGAGTGAGCAATTTTTTTGGGGGGGGGGGCTCTGATCAGCCACGGATGCCTGCCAAGAAATATTTATCCAAATGCTTCAGAAACAGCAGTAATAATATTTAAAACAAAACAAAGAAAGCTATTTTCACATGGCTGTTCTGGAAGCAACGGCGGAGGCTGTTCTGTTTCTTTTTCATCGTAATCAGCGCCCGGCGCGGGACTCCACGCTTGTTGCAAATCGGATTAAAAATCAGGCAATGAAATGCCCCTGTGTGGCATTTAGAATGCCAGGTTTGGTCTTCTTCTTTCTCCACACGTCCCGGGGAGAAGAAATCCAACAGGAGGAAACGGGTGTGTGGTCCTTGGTATCTTGAAACGTCCTCTCCAGAAGAACTTCAGGCTGTTATACGTAAATGCCCTCGGGGTTAAAACCAGAGGACAGCGGGTTCTGCAAGATCCGGAGGTTGCTGGGAAGCTGCCTTGAGGAAGTTGGGCGTTTGAGGGAGCTGGTCTGAAAGACGGGTTCTGTGGGAGAAGAACTAGGTTACTATGACGCCTTTGAACATGGTTATCTTAACAGGTTCCGCCTCAACGTGGATTGCCAATCCCTAAGGGTGGAAGAACCGATGGAGGAAGGAGTGTCTCCATCCACGTTGAGCTCCATCCTTAATCTTATCCTCCATCTCTCAGTACAGGCGCTCCTCGACTTACAACAAGTTCATTTAGTGACCAAAGTTACTTACAATGGCACTGGAAAAAGTGACTTCTGACCGTTTTTCACACTTACGTCTTGTTGCGGCCTCCCCGCAGTCACGTGATCAAAATTCAGAGGCTCCACAACTGGTTCATATTTACGACAGTTGCAGCGTCCTGGAGGTCACACGCTCACCTTTTGTAACCTTCGGACAAGCAGTCAATGGGAAAACCAGATTCACTTAACAACCATGTTACTAACTCAACAACTGCGGAGAGTCACTTAACAACTGTGGCAAAAAAGGTCGTGAAATGGGACAAAACCCAACTTAACAAATGTCTCGTTTAGCCACAGGAAATTTTGGGCTCAATTGTGGTTGTAAGTTGAAGACTAGCTTGTGGTTATAAATCAAGGACTACCTGTATCGTACCCTTAAGAGATACTCAACAGAAGAAATAGTAATAGACTTATGTACTGCTTCACGGTACATTACAGCCCTTTCTAAGTGGTTTTACAGAGTCAGCATGTTGACCCCCCCAACAATCTGGGTCCTCATTTTATCGACCTCGGAAGGATGGAAGGCTAAGTCCACCTTGACCTGGTTAGGATTGAACTGCTGGCAGTGGGCAGAGTTAGCCTGGAATATTGCATTCTAACCACTGAGCAACCACAGTTTGGTAGGAAGAAAAAGAGAGAGGAAAGGAAAGGAAATGCAAAAGGTAGGGTAGGTAGCAATAGCACTAGACTTGTATACTGCTTCATAGTCCTTTACGGCCTTCTCTAAATGGTTTACAGAGTCAGCATGTTGACCCCCCAACAATCTGGGTCTTCATTTTATCGACCTCGGAAAGATGGAAGGCTGAGTCCACCTTGAGTCGGCCAGGATCGAACTGCTGGCAGTGGGCAGAGTTAGCCTGGACTATTGCACTCTAACCACAGTGCCACCACAGTTCGGTAGGAAGAAAAAGAGAGGGAGGAAAGGAAAAAGGAAAGGAAATGTGAAAGGTAGGGTAGGTAGCAATAGCAATAGACTTGTATACTGCTTCATAGTCCTTTACAGCCCTCTCTAAGCAGTTTACAGAGTCAGCACGTTGCCCCCAACAATCCGGGTCCTCATTTTATCGACCTCGGAAGGATGGAAGGCTGAGTCAACCCTGACCCGGTTAGGATCAAACTGCTGGCAGTGGGCAGAGTCAGCCGGCAATACTGCATTCTGACCCCTACGCCACAAGGAGAATAGAATAGAATAGAATAGAACAGAACAGAATAGAATAGAAATTGGAATGAATAGAACAGAATAGAAACAGAATTAGAATAACACTTATATACTGCTTCACAATGCTTTTACAACCCTCTCTAAGCAGCTTACAGAGTCAGCACGTTGCCCCCAACAATCTGGGTCCTCATTTTATTGACCTCAGAAGCATGGAAGGCTGAGTCAACCCTGACCCGGTTAGGATCGAACTGCTGGCAGTGGGCAGAGTCAGCCGGCAATACTGCATTCTGGCCCCTTCGCCACCAGGAGAATAGAATAGAAATTGGAATGAATAGAACAGAATAGAAATAGAATAGCACTTATATACCGCTTCACAATGCTTTTACTGCCCTCTCTAAGCAGTTTACAGAGTCAGCATCTTGCCCCCAACAATCAGGGTCCTCATTTTACCGACCTGGGAAGGATGGAAGACTTGAGTCAACCTTGTCTTGTCTCACCAGCTTGTCTCACTACTCCTAATGCAAGGGTCTCCACCCTTGGCATCTTCAAACCCTTGCTGGCAGGGGGAACCCTAGGAGTTGAAGTCCATAGCTATTGAGATTTCCAAGGTTGGACGCTCCTGACCTAATGTATCTATCTTCTCCCTCTCGTTTACAAAGGAAAGGCTTCTTGCTGGTGTGCAAATCAGTTGAGCCTGCCCACATCGATCCAAGCGTTTTTTGCCCAACCCTCCAAAGGCCAACGGTGAACTTTCAACGGATCCCCCTTACGACCTGTCTTAGGAAGGGGGTCATCTCAAAAGTACCTTTCTCAAGCTCTGGGTGTGAAGCCTCCGATTCAATGGGTTCAGCCGGAAGGACCGTGACTTTTGTCCCCGTCTGTTGGATGAACTGTTGGAGGTTGACTTGACGCAGTTCTTTTGTCAGCTGCTCCAGTTCTTGTTCTCTTTCCTAAGGAGGAGGAGAAGAAAGTAAGGCAGATTCAGTAACAGTGATGGAGTTGGAAGGGACTTTTGGAGGTCATCTAGCCCAGCCCCCTTGCTCTGGCAGGAGACGATGGCTGCCCAGTCTCTTCTTTTTTTTAAATATTTTTTATTATTATTTTAGACCAACAAAACAAAACAAAACACAACAAACATTACACACATACACACGTAATATATCCTTTTTTGTTAACAGCAGTTTGTAAGTACTCTTCTATTCTTTACATTTCCCCCCTCTTTCTTCTTTGAAATATTTGTCCTTATTGCCCCATTGTTTCTTATTTACATTTTCCTTCTTTCATATTCTACTACTTACTAGGAATCCAACATTATTCATTTTAGTAACACTCATATTTTTTATAAGACTCAACCGGAATTCCATCTAAGCATGGTGATCATACAAATATTCTGATATTATTTAGTGCATATACTGTTTTTACTCTAATACTATTTCCAACATTAAAATTCACCCTTTTTCATCCAAGTATATTTATTTAATTTTATTTTTCTTTGACATATATAATAATTCCTCCTTTCTCGTTTTATGCTAATATTGTGTATAATGTTTCTAAATTTTACTTTCTCTAGTAATTTTCTATGATCCTATTTTATGTAAACTTCCTAAAGATACATCACATCTACATCCAATTTCCTTAAATTGTTAAATGTCTAAACTCTTTTTCTTGATATATTTAATCCATTAATATTTATAGAAAAGAGCCTAATTACGTCTCCCATTTTTAACTTGATCTATTTTTTTTGTTTTTATTTTGTTTTATACTTCTTGTCTCTATAAGTCTTCCTTTTGCTTCTCTTTCTAGCCCAGTCTTTTCTTAAAAGCCTCCAGTGATATGGCGCACCCACAACTTCTGGAGACAAGCTGTTGCCTTGATGGATTTGTTAGGAAATTTCCTTTGTTAGGAAATTCCTCCTTAGTTCTACGTTGCTTCTCTCCCAAGTTGGTCACTTTCCAACCGTTGTTTCTTGCCTTTTGGTGCTTTGGAAAATAGTTTTGACCCCCCCCCTTGTCTTTGTAGGAGCCCCTCCAATATTGGAAGACTGCTTTCATGCTTCCCCCCCCCCCCAGTCCTTCTTTTCATTAGACTAGACTGGACATACCCAATTCCTGTAACCGTTCTTCATGCGTTTTAGTCTCCAGCCCCCTAATCATTTCTGCTGCTCTTCAGCGGACACATATCTGCTGAATGGGAGGTCATCTAGTCCAGCCCCTCGCTCTCTCAGCAGACCTATGTTATTTTGGATCGATGGCTATCCAGTCTTTTCTTAACAGCCTCTATTGTGGGGGCACCCACAATTTCTGAAGGCGATTTGTCCCAATTTGTTCTCACTGTTAGGGATGATTCAACCGGACAGTTCTGAATGATGTTGCTCCCACTTAAGAGAAATGAGAACGGCCGGTGTTCCAAGATAATGCAGGGCCAATTTTCAATCCTCGCTCCACCCAAACCATCGGAGGAAGTTATTCTGTCCCAATCTTTGGCAGCTGAACAGTCTCTGTTGACCTGAAGCCTCCAGATCAGTGGTTCTCAACCTGTGGGTCGGGACCCCATTTGGGGTTGAACGACCATTTCACGGGGGTCGCCAAACAAGGCTGTCCGCCATTTTTCCCCCCTTTTCTTTGGCCACGCCCCTGGCACCCGGTGATGTATAAGTGGTTGGGGTCACCACAACATGGGGAACTGTATTATAGGGTCGCGGCATTAGAAAGGTTGAGAACCACTGCTCCAGATAGAAACTCTTTCAAGGATTAAATTAAGCAGAAACAGTCCCTGTTCACACCAGCTGAGGGAAATTCACTACCTATTATTTCCCAGTAGGGAGACTCAGTTGACATCTCAAAGACAGAGCAAGGAGTCCTGACAAACCTGGTTTTGGTAAAGGAATCCGGCTTGATTGATGTTCCCTGGAAAACCAACGTTGTCTGCAACAACAGGCCACTCCCAAACCTCTACTATTTATTTCCCAGCCAGGGAGAGGTTGACTAGCATCTAGGTCAGGAGTAGGCAACCTTGGCTCTTTTATGACTCGTGGACTTCAACTTCCAGAATTCCTGAGCCAGCGTGGGGGAACTATGGCCCCCTTCATGACTAGTGGACTTCAACTGGCTGGCTGGCTCAGGAATTCTGGGAGTTGAAGTCCACAAGTTATAAAAGAGCCAAGGTTGCCTACCCCTGATCTAGGTCTTCTTTGCCCTGAGACTCGGCTTATTGCCTTCCATTGCTCTCCTCTCCTCTCCATGCATACACCCATCTGGGACGGGCCCCATCTGTTCCTCCCCTTCACTCAGATCAGGCCCCGAAGACAGCTGCCTCTCCACCTGGGCACAGACAGACGGTCCCGGCTCTGCCTCTGATTGTGCTTCCTCATCAGAGCCTTCCAAAGGCTCTGAAGTTGACCCAGTCTCCTCCTCCTCCTCCTCCTCATCTGACTGCAAGCAGTCGACGGATCACAACACCTGGAGCCTTAGCATGACTTTTCCATTACGAGACAAGGATTATTGACCCGAAACCAATCCTTTTGGGTTTTGCGGATTAGATAAGCTTGTTGTTATAGAAAACATTAGTTATGTACGGTATTTTTGTTAGGTATACTATCAGGGAAATACGATAAAGAAACTATGTATTTAATGTTACACGTATTAACAGCAGCAAGAATTGTATTTGCTCCGTATGGGAAAAATAAGGAAACGCCATCCGAAGAAGAGATAATTAAGAAAAGTATTGGACTTTGCAGAAATGGATAGACTTACACTGAAGAGTAAAGAAAAGGAAGACACAGAATATTTCCAAGCATGGGATGTCTTTTACCAATGGCTGAAAAAACGGGGTAGAGGTGAGGAACTCAATATGTATTGTTTAGTACAGTGGTTCTCAACCTTTTTAATGCCGCGACCCCCAACCGGTCGTAAGTCGAGGACTACCCAACCGGTCGTAAGTCAAGGACTACCCAACCAGTCGTAAGTCGAGGACTTTCCCTGCCCGGGAGCGCCGTGCATGCGTGGTGCCGCTCCCTGCGCTGTCCGAGGCGTAGCTGGCAAGCGGCAGAGACGGCGCAGGCCCACCACCGGCTGGGCCACCAACTGGCCCAGCCCAAGGGAGGTAAGGCACTCGCCGGGCCCCACGCATGCCAGCAACCCTCCCTGCGCCCGCCGGCCTCCCACCTCCCACCCCTGGCCCTCTTTTACTTACATTTTTAGTAGTTGCTCAGCAGGGAGGGGTGGAAGCTTCCAGACAGCTCGCCTTCGCTGCAGACAACTTGCAGCACCGTTTGCAGAATGGGATTTTGGCGGGCTCAGCAGTGCAGAGACAGCCTGGACAATTCCTATTGGCTTTTGAAAGCCAATAGAATTAGACTCTATTCAAGAGAGTCTATTCTATTGGCTTTCAAAAGCCAATAGAATAAAAGGGAGTAGCACAGCTAAGGAAAAGGGGGGAAAAATGGCGGACTGCGTTGTTTGGCGATCCCCGTGAAATGGTCGTTCAACACCGAATGGGGTCCTGACCCACAGGTTGAGAACCGCTGGTTTAGTAAGACAAATGGACTCGACAACACGTTGTTTACTAAGCACGTATGAATTGTAACCTTAGAAACTAATAACATGTTATAAAAAAAGCATGTACAGTATTAGAAAAAAGTAAAAAGTCGAGGTTTTATGTTGTTACCTTATTCTACTGCGCCAAAAGGAGTTGGAGGCCAATGGCTGTCTTTTCCTTTCCCCTTTATGCTTCCCTCCCCTCTCTTTCCCCTTGTCTCCCTTATTTTCCCCTCATCTTCATTTTTTTTTTTGTATTTCTGCGTTTCGTATTTTGATCGACTCATAAAATATCTGAAGACGGAGAAAATGGACCCCACCTGTAACCGCTTGGCCGCTTGTCCCAGAGACCTTTCCACCGCTTTGATGCCGTTTTCCAGGCGGAGACTTTGCTGGCCATGGAGGTCAAGCTCTCCTCTGACTTTGTCGATCTTCTCTCTGACTTCTTCTTCATTGACCTTAGCCTCCTGGACTTCCCGTTGCAACTTCTCCGCTTCCAGGCCGCTTTCCATGTGGTGGATCTGGACCACGTAGTCCTTCAGCTTGCTTTCGCAGTCCAATATCCTCTGCCGGATCTCCTGCAGCTGCTCCTTCAGCTGCTTCTCGTTCTCCTGCTCAATCTGGAGCTCGTTCTCCCAAAACTCCTCCTCCTCGATCTCCACCTCGTTCCGCTTGACCTTCTGCTCCAGCTTGAGAATTTCGTCCTCCAGGCTGAAGCTGAACTTCTGCTCCCAGTATCTGATCTCGGCCTCGTTGGTGTCCAGCTGTTTCTCCACCGACTGCAACTTCTCCGTCTGGAGGTGCACCAGCTTTTTCAACTCATCCACTGTGGTCTTGCAGTGGAGGACCTTCTGCTTGAACTCGTGCTCTTTGCTCTTCCCAAAAATGTCCATTAATCCTTTGGCGCCGCCGGTGAAAGTCAAGGACTTACGTTTGGGCTCTCTCCTTTTAATCGACTTGTCGTTCTGGGGCCGGAGCTTGGCCAAGGGAGGGAGGCTCTGCCGATACAAAGTCCTTTCCGGGATCCGAGCGACGCTGTCCGAAGTCGGCCGCTCGCTAAGCGACGGCCCGGTACGCCGCAAGACGAGTTGCACGTCGCTGGCGTACTGTCCCCATTTGTTCAAAGAAATGATAGGATTTTCGTGAGGCGCTAAATGTCTTTCTGTATCTCTCCATTTTTCTATCAAAGTATACCTTCCGGTACGACCTAAAAAAAAAAAAAGAAATAAATAAATAAGAGCATGGACACACAGGTAGTCCTTGACTTATAACAGTTCATTTAGTGACCGTTTGAAGTTACAACGGCGCCGAAAAAAGTGTCTTATGACCGCTTTTTTCACACATACGGCAGTTGCAGCATCCCCGTGGTCACGTGATCAAAATTCAGATGCTTGGCAACTGACTCACATTTATGACCGTTGCAGTGTCCCTGGTCACGTGATCCCCTTGTGACTTAGTCAACAGGGAAGCCAGATTCATTTAACAACCCTGTTACTAACTTAATAATCACAGTGATTCACTTAACAACGGTTGTAAAAGAAAGATTGTAAAATGGGGCAAAATTCACTTAACAAATGTCTCCCTTAGCAACATAAGTTTTGGGCTCAATTGTGATCGTTAAGTCGAAGACTACCTGTAATTGCAATGACAGGAATGAGCCAGCAGAGGGCAGGGGTGCACCACAAGAGCTCCAGACACAAATTTAAAAAATTAAGATAATCAAACTATTTACTGCACTGGTAAAGTAGTTCATGATAACTTAATGGAATCTACATTAGCCCCACCAGTTTGCAAACTAGCAAGCCACGTCGTCAAAAGTATTACGAAAAGCCATTTCATAATATTAACAAATTACTTAATGCACTGGTAAAAGTAGCTTATGATTGTTGTTGTTAATTGTGAAGTCATGTCCGACCCATCGTGACCCCATGGACAACGTTCCTCCAGGTCTTCCTGTCCTCTACCATCTTCTGGAGTCCATTTAAGCTCACGCCTCCTGCTTCAGTGACTCCATCCAGCCACCTCATTCTCTGTCGTCCCGTTCTTCTATTGCCCTCATCTTTCCCAGCATTAGGCTCTTCTCCAGTGAGTCCTTCCTTCTCATTAGGTGGCCAAAGTATTTGAGTTTCAACTTCAGGATCTGGCCTTCTAAAGAGCAGTCGGGGTTGATCTCTTCTAGGACTGACCGGTTTGAACGCCTTGCAGTCCAAGGGACTCGCAGGAGTCTTCTCCAGCACCATAGTTCAAAGGCCTCAATTCTTTGGCGCTCAGCCTTTCTTATGGTCCAACTTTCACAGCCATACATTGCAACTGGGAAAACCATGGCCTGGACTATACGCACTTTTGTTGGCAGGGTGATATCTCTGCTTTTTAGTATGCTTTTGATAATTTAACCCAAATTTACACGAGCACCACCACTTTGCAAACAAACAAACTGCGTCTACAAAAGTTATCGAAGTGGCATGTATAAAAGTCACTTCCTAACACGGAGAAACTACTGCATAGGTACAGTAGTTTTTGATAATGAAACCACATCAAAAATTTTTTTTTAGTTTTTTGCAGAAATGGCAAAAATTTCTGCTTATTTGAAGGATCATACACAAGAAAGATATATTATTGTATGGAGAAGATGGCTAGATTATATTCAGAAAAAATATGAGACTATAAAGTTTCATTTATTTTATGAGTAAATTTTATAGTAACTGTTGTAGAGATTTGTTTATATGACTTAATTTAAGGGGAGTTAAAAGGTTAAGTATGATGTTTTTTCTTCTCTTTTTTTTTCTTTTTTTCTTTTTTTATTATTGTTAACTTTCTTAATAATAACCCTGTACTCTGCTCTGAGAAGCGAGGGGGGGAGGGTTGAGGGTGGATGGATGGGTGGGTAATGATAATATAGTCATGGTAAATGCTTGGGCATTTCCCCTATGCCAATGGTTCTCAACCTGTGGGTCGGGACCCCATTTGGGGTCGAACGACCATTTCACGGGGGTCGCCAAAGAACGCAGTCCGCCATTCCCCCCCCCTTTTCCTTAGCTGTGCTACTCCCTTTTATTCTATTGGCTTTTGAAAGCCAATAGAATAGACTCTCTTGAATAGAGTCTAATTCTATTGGCTTTCCAAAGCCAATAGGAATTGTCCAGGCTGTCTCTGTCCTGCTGAGCCTGCCAAAAGTCCCATTCTGCAAACGGTGCTGCACCAGTTGAGTAGTCCTCAACTTACAACCGGTTGAGTAGTCCTTGACTTACGACCGGTTGGGGGTCGCGGCATTAAAAAGGTTGAGAACCACTGCCCTAGGCTGCGTTCATGTGTGTGAGAGGGATGAGAGGGGAGGAAGGAGTAGGGAGGAAGTAGGATGGTTAGAGGAGAAGGGGAGGGGAAGAGAGTAGGAGGGGAGGAGAGAAAGAGGAGGGAAGTGTGGAAGGATTAGAGAGGGTGGACGCAGCCTGGGGGGAATGGGCAGGCGGTACCAATGGTTAGGAATTTAATTGTATTTTGTATGAATAAATGGAAAATAAAAACTTTTTAATAAAAAAAATTTTTTTTAGTTTGAACCGAATTAAACATTTAATTCAAAAACCCACATAAGAAGGGGAAGAAGTAAAGCAGAATCGGACCCGCAAGGTTTTTTTTTACTAGTCTAGGTTAATAAAGGTAGTTTTGAGTCTTTGTCGAGGTTTATTTCTTGATCTGGACTGACCAAGTGTTAGCAGTTCTGAGCTGCCTAAGGACAGAGGTCCCCAACCATTTGGGCACCAGGGACCAGTTCCGCGGAGAAAGGTTTTTCCACGGACCGGAGAGTGCGTGGTTTTGTGTGCTGCCCGCATCCCGCAGATGGGCTTTGCTTGTTTGTGTGGCCAGGTTGCTGACATGTCGTGGCCCGGTACCCGTCCGTGGACCAGGGGTTGGGGACCCCTGGCCTAGAAAACTGGTAGCAGCATTAAAACCACCCAGGTGCTTACAAATGGCATCTTTACGGGTGCAGGGACTGGAAACTCAATACAAGCCAGTTGAGAGAGAGGCAACTATCACTACTACTGCTTTGGAAACCCCAGAATGCAACCAGCCAAGGTGAGACAACCTCAATGCTCCCTTTACTACGGGCGTTCCTCGACTTACGACCACAACAGAGCCCCAAATGTATGTTGTTAAGTAAGTTCCACCCCATTTCACGGCCTTTCTTGCCACGCTTGTTAAGGGAATCCCTTCTGGTTGTTAAATGAGTCACACCGTTGTTAAGTGAATCTGGCTTTCCCCATGGACTTTGCTTCTTAGAAAGGTCACAAAACGGAATCATGTGACCCCCCCAGGACGTTGCAACCATCATAAATATGAGTTGGTCGCACAAGCATCTGAATTTTGATTCAGGGGATTGCTGCAAGGGTCGTAAGTATGAAAAACGGTCCCAAGTCACCTTTTTCAGTGCTGTTGTAACTTCGCAGGTCACTAAACGAGGACTACTATATCTAGCTGTCAAGATTCCAGGCAAGAGCTCTCCTGACTACTAAATCTTCCAAATAGAGTTGAGAAACTTTAGATTTCTCTTAAAATCTCCTGCAGTTAAGAAGAATTATCTCCCTTGTTGATCAGAACAGATTAGACTTGAGTTATGTCCAGGACACATGAAACCAAACCTTCAGATATTCCAAGTCTTACAAGTTCTAAAATGTTTATCATGAATTTGTAGGGAAGGCCGGACTTTATTTTCAAGAATACTGAATAAAACATTTTGAATTCAGAACTTGATCAGCTCCAAGAGTGACTGGTGTTGAATCCAAAACAGCCGAGAGCTTTGATCCCATTCTGAGCTCAATGCCACTCTGTAGTGACTTAGAAGCAGGGCTTTTCAAGATCAAAACGGTTCAAATTCAAAATATTTTATATATCCCATTGAGCTCGAGGACTGATCTAAGAGCGGTTGTCCAATTTAAAAGGGAAATCGAATTGGAGGCGGGATAACATGTTCTGTCTCTTGGAACATCTCCATGAGGGCTGGGAAGCATACAGTGATGTCCATCAACCACATCTGATCTGTAACGGTTACTCTCCTCTGTGTAAACAATTATCCTTATTGTACTTGAGTCATGATCTGAAACCTCGCTAACTTTAGAAGAGAATATTGGCAGCTCAGGGTTGAACTGTGGGGGTCCTTGGTGCTCTTTGAGCTTGGTGGTCTTCTTACAGACGTTTCATGACCCAACTAGGGAACATCATCAGTGCTAGAAGGGAGAGGAGTTTGCTTAGAGATTTGAACTGTGGGGTCCTTGGGGCTCTCTGAGCTTGGTGGTTTTCTTGCAGATGTTTCATGACCCAACTAGGAAACATCATCAGTGTTAGAAGGGAGGGGGGTTAGCAGGGAAGAGGAGGAGGAAGAAGAAGAGGAGGAGGAGAAAAAAGAAGAGGAGGAGGGGGGACGGAGGAGGAGGTGGTGGTTCTTGGTATTTCTAAGGATGGTGGTTTTCTTGCAGACGTTTCATGACCCAACTAGGTAACATCATCAGTTAAGACAGGGGTAGGCAACCTGAGACAGGGGTAGGCAACCTGACTCGTGGACTTCAGCTCCCAGAATTCCTGAGCCAGCCATGCTGAGGGGACAGGGAGAGGTTTCCAAGCTGAGCCATGCTGGCTGAGGAATTCTGGGAGTTGAAGTCCACCAGTCATAAAAGAGCCAAGGTTGCCTACCTCTGAGTTAGGATGATGTAGAGTACAGTGTACACTGATCATGTTGCCAGTTTGGTCAGGACAGATCCAATGATCCAACCGAATTAATGATAACCTCTTCCCACTCACCTCCTCCATAAATATCAGGACTGCATACTCACCTATAGCCTGGGCAAGGGCTATAACGACTTCCTGACAAGTTGTAACTTCTGTGACTCCACAAACAATCCTTTGGACTCCGTCGACCCACACCTTCAGCTCCATGGTCTGCAGATCACTTGTTGGCCATGCATATAGTCCTCAAGGTATCAGGTCATGTTTACAGCTATGTCTGGTAGTGCCAACATGCTGGGCAATTATTATCTGGAAAATATGGAGAGGGAGGGGGGTGTTAAAGGGCTATAATTTAAATTATGTCCAAGAAACTAATTGCAGGATTTTTAAGGCCCAAAGAGTTTTCTCCCACATACAATTTTATGCTTTTAAAAATTGCGAGCCCAATCTTTCGGTTGCTAAGTGAAACATTGGGTGGGTTTTGCCCCACTTTATGACCTTTCTTCTGACAGCCATTAAGTGAATCGCTACAGATGTTAAGTTAACAACACGGGTTGTTAAGTGAATCTGGCTTCTCCATTTGACTTTGCTTGCAGGAAAGTCGCAAAACAAGATCACGTGACCCGGGGGACACTGCAACCGTCGTAAATATGAGTCAGTTGCCAAGCGTCTGAATTTTGATCGTGCGACCACGGGGATGATGAAATGGTTGTAAGTGTGAAAAATGGTCATTTTTTTCAGTGCTGTTGTAACTTTGAACAGTTGCTAAATGGACTGTTGTAAGTTGAGGACTATCTGTATTTTAAAAGACCACACATTCCACCAGAGCACACTGGATCCATTACTAGCTTTTTTTTTAAAAAAAATGGGTTGAGCTGACATTCCACTTACTCAAAATTTGAGAAACCAACATCGCTTTAAAATTAGGATATATGTCGTAACGTGTTCCACATTAAAAGTAGCCCTTCCTGTAGCTTTAGATACTTTTTTTTTCCTATCTGAGTTCAGATTGTAGACAAAGATTGTTATTACAAAGAAAATTGCTAGAAATTAGCTCTCTTGGCATAGGATTTTATTATTGCAGTGGTGGTTATAATAGAACCGTCATTAGCACTTGGATAAAGCTTTAACTATAGTGCAGATAAGTAAAAACAGCAACAGAGCTTTCTAGGTGTTGTAAGTCTTGATGTAACGTATTAGCAGTGTATTTAGAAAGGCAAAGTCTTGATGTAACATATTACTGTGTTTTCATGAAAATAAGACCAGATCTTATATTAAATTTTTCGCTCCAAAAGACGTCTTAGGGCTTATTTTCCGGTTAGGGCTTATATTCAGGGAAATACGGTACTAAATGTGTCCCTCTCACTGATAATCTTAACTGGGGCTTATTTTAGGGGTGGGGCTTATATTATAAGCATCTTGAAAAAAATCAGGCTAAGGCAGGGATAGGCAACCTTGGCTCTTTTATGACTTGTGGACTTCAACTCCCAGAATTCCTGAGCCAGCCACGCTGAGGGGAAAGGGAAACGTTTCCAAGCTGAGCCATGCTGGCTCAGGAATTCTGGGAGTTGAAATCCACGAGTCACGAAGGGGCCAAAGTTTCCCCCATGCTGGCTCAGGAATTCTGGGAGTTGAAGTCCACAAGTCATAAAGCAGCCTAGGCCTAGGTCAGGGGTAGGCAATCTTAGCTCTTTTATGACTCGTGGACTTCAACTCCCAGAATTCCTGAGCCAGCCATGCTGAGGGGAAAGAGAGAGGTTTCCAAGCTGAGCCATGCTGGCTCAGGGATTCTGGGAGTTGAAATCCATGAGTCATAAAAGAGCCACGGTTGCCTACCCCTGGTCTAGGGCTTATTTTCCAGTTGGATCTTATTTTCGGGGAAACACGGTAGCAACATACAGGTAGTCCTCGACTTACGATCACCACAGAGCCCCATATTTCTGTTGCTAAGCAAGACAGTTTTAAGTGAATTTTGCCCCATTTTACGACCTTTCTTGCAATGGTTGTTAAGTGAATCACTGCAGTTGTTAATTTAGCAACACGGCTGTTGAGTGAACCTGGCTTCCCCACTGACTTTGCTTGTCAGGTCGCAAAAGGGGATCACGTGACCCCGGGACAGTGCGACCGTCATAAATAGGAGTCAGTTTTGCCAAGTGTCTGAATTCTGAACACGCAACTATGGGGATGCTGCCATGGGCGTTAAGTGTGAAAAATGGCCATAAATCACTTTTTTCAGTACCGCTGTTACTTCAAACGGTCACTAAACAAACAATTGCTAAGTCAAGGACTGCCTATATTTAGAAAGGTGACAATTCTAAGTTAATTTAACTGACCTTACAAATACTAGGAGTAATTTCAGTGATGTCAACAAGCATTCAAGGCAAAAGTCAATGGAAAAGCAGAGCTGCCAGTGTCTCTCATGCTACTGTAAAACCCAGAGAGTGATAATGCAGAAAACTGATGGTGCCATTCGGTTATCACAAGCTCAAGACAGCGCCCTGCTCGTTGTACAGATTTATATTTTTACCCTTTTTTCTTCCAAGTAACGAGGACAGCAGCAACAGGAACACCAACACAAGTCCTCAAGAGACTTTGATCAGCCAACAACACAGGGAAATGTCAAAAGTTTGGCACCTGAGGATTTTTATTCAGCGCTATTCCAGACTAGAAACATTTAAAATATGGGCCTTAAAATTTCAACTGCAGGGACTTAAGATTCAAAACAGGGTTTACAAGCAGTGACCATCATCATCAGTGGTGGTAGAAGATGTAAGTAAATAGCACTACCTCTCAGTCCCCAAGAATCAAGAATGACACACGTAGTTACTTCTCATTTGTGTCTTTATTGTTGTTCACCTATAGACAGAATCTTGCCAGACTAAAGCAATGATCTGCATTACTATAGATATAAGTGATGAACTGCTATGGAGGAGTCATCCTAACCCAGTGAACGCCAATCAACTCCAGTGCTTTATTTGCTTAAATAGACAGAGTCTCGCCAAATTAAAGCTATAACTTTGTAAGCTACTAAATAGATCCTGAGATATTCTAGGATGGTGGACCCCAACCTTTTGGCCGCTAGGGACCAGTTCCGTGGAGATTGGTTTGTCTGTGAATCAGAAAGGGTATAGTTTTGCTGCTGCCTTCATCTCTCAGTTTCTGCATGCCGTGGATCGCTGCCGGTCCATGGTCTAGGGATTGGGGACCACTGTTCTAGGTTATGACACTCTTCCTTCGTTTCTCCATCCAGCTTGAGACTGCATAGATTCTTAATCCGGGTCTCTTTCTGGGAAAACTCTGAGTTGGCAAAATCTTCCTCCTCTGCTGCTGCAGGTGCACAATCCATTACACTTAAGCCTGATTTACAGTTGTCCGCAACTGCCCATAGCACTGAAAAAAATCGACTTATGACCGTGTTTCACACCTACGATCCTTGCAGCAATCCCCAGGGTCACCTGATCAAAATTCAGATGCTTGGCAACTGTCTCCTATTTATGACGGTCACAGTGTCCTGGGGTCACGTGATCGATCCCCTTTTGTGACTTCCTGACATGCAAAGTCAGTGGGGGAAGCCTGACTCACTTAACAACCATTGTTACTACACTAAGAATCACAGTGATTCATTTAACAACGGTGGCAAGGAAGGTCATAAATTGTGGCAAAACTCAACCAATGTTTCGCTTAGCCACAGAAATTTTGGGGTCAATTGTGATCGTTAAGTCGAGGAATAGCTGTACAGAGAGGTTGGTATCCTGGCCCAATCCACCCCCTAAGACAGGGGTAGGCAACCTTGGCTCTTGTATGACTTGTGGACTTCAACTCCCAGAATTCCTGAGCCAGTCAGGGGAAAGTGAGGGGAAAGAGGGAGGTTTCCTAGTTGAGCCATGCTGGCTCAGGAATTCTGGGAGTTGAAGTCCACCAGTCATAAAAGAGCCAAGGTTGCCTACCCCTGCCCCAAGACCTTTTGGTTAAATCTAAAATAGCTCTTTGGGTACCAGCCACAAATTAGCTTTTTTAGAAATACATTTTAGCAACAGGAATTCAATTTCTGGATGGCAACGACTCATCCCCTAATAAGTGTCTGTCTGCATATGTCATAGGATGGTGCCTGATTTAAAAGATAATAAAGTCTGACAATGGGGTGACTCATGTCAGATGTTTCTACTGGTGATGAAAATGGCAGGCTGCATTATTTTCTGCTAGTTTGAGTACTCTTTATTCCTTTTGCAAAGGGCTCTTGGAAAGAAGACAAGCGAATCTATATTTATTCTTTTATTCAAACGATTGTGGGAACACATTTCTTAATCAAAAGAAAAAAAAACAGATCATAATCTATTACGTAATTCATTTATTAATCCATGCAGTGTATATGCCACTTATTCTCTAAATTTTAGAAAGGTTAAGTTCCAGCTTGCAAGCAATAAAACCATAAGAATGCATCAAAACATCTACATATCCTCTCTAGTCCTTGTTGCGTACACACACACAAACACACACATACAAAACCACAACGGCGAAGAAAATTGAAAGAACAAACAGGCATTGATATTTCATCATGGACGTACTCTTGTGGTATACATAGCTTTGCAATTTTGTCTACTGCAACCTGGTCCTGCACAAAAAAAGCAATTTTTATACTTGTTCCTGCTTTAGTGACCTATTTTGCTTCCAAGTGAGCAGGGGAAAAAACCCCATGCATTTCTGTTACTCAATTCATTTACAGGTAGTGTCTGACTTATGACTGCAATTGAGCTCCAAAATTTCTGTTGCTAAGTGTGACATTTGTTAAGTGAGTTTTGCCCCATCTTTTTGCCATAGTTGTTAAGGGGAATCACTGCAGTTAGTGACATGGTTGTTGAATTTAATCTTTGCTTGTAGGAAGGTCTCAAAAACTGATCACATGACCCTGGGAGACGGCAACCGTCCTAAGTACATCCCAGTTGCCAAGCCTCTGAATTCTGATCATTTCTGACCAGGGGGATGCTGCAATAGCTGCAAGTGTGAAAAGCGATCACAAGTCCCTTTTTTCAATGCCATTGTAACTTTGACTGTTCACTAAATCACTGTTATACGTCATGAGCTATCTGTGTTAAACAAATATCATTTTAAGCTGTAGGAAAAGGAAAATGTTGGTGACATAAAGCAGATTCAGCACTAGACTCCTGTAGGAGATTTACCCCATCATTGAAACCCGTTATCCACAGCCCTAATTCACACATGCTGCGTCTTTCTGTGCAAAAATAAGTGTTATATTATATGCACTAACCTAGGGGTAGGCAACCTTGGCTCTTTTATGACTCATGGACTTCAACTCCCAGAATTCCTGAGCCAGCATGGCTCAGCTTGGAAACCTCTCTCTTTCCCCTCAGCGTTGCTGGCTCGGGAATTCTGGGAGTTGAAGTCCACGAGTCATAAAGCGGCCTAGGCCGGGGTAGGCAACCTTGGCTCTTTTATGACTTGTGGACTTCAACTCCCAGAATTCCTAAGCCAACATGGCTCAGCTTGGAAACCTCTCCCTTTCCCCTCAGCACGGCTGGCTCAGGAATTCTGGGAGTTGAAGTCCACAGTCATGAAGGGGCCAAGGTTGCCTACCCCTGACCTCGGCTTACGACCAATCACTTAGTGACTGTTTGAAGTTACAATGGTACTGAAGAACGTGACTTAGGATCGTTTCTCACACTTACAACCGTTGCAGCATCCCGGTGGTCACGTGATCAAAATTCAGATGCTTGGAAACTAACTCACAGTTACGATGGTCAAAGTGTCCTGGGATCACATGATCCCCTTTGGCGACCTTCTGACAAGCAAAATCAATGAGGAAGCCAGATTCACTTAACCACCATGTGACTAATTTAACAACTGGAGGGATTCACTTAACAACTGTTGCAAGGAAGGTCGTAAAGTGGGCAAAACTCATCTTAGCCAATGTTTCACTCAGCAACATAAAATTTGGGCTCAGTTGTGGTTTGTAAGTTGAGGACCACCTGTGGTATTATCAGCTCTTCCACGTAACTGATTTTTCGATGGATTCAAAAGTTGCACGGCTGGCGCGCTGATAACACGCCTACTTTGACAATCAAATGATTTCAAGAGAACGAGGGAAAAGATTAATGGAATAGGTGGTGCTCCATTTAATTCTATTCCTTCACATGCCACTTTTAGGCTTAAAGTCTTAGCAGCACCAAGGGTTTGAAGCCTTCCAGCTTAATCCAGGAAGAACAAGACATGGGTGGGGTGTGTGTGTGTTAAAATAAGGTTTCACCTTTGCAGGGCAACTGCAGAAGAATAGAAATAGAATAGAAATAAAATAGAAATAATACAAATAGAAATAGAAAAAGTAGAAATAGAAATAGAAATAAAATAGAACAGAACAGAATAGATATTGGAATATAGAATAGAATAGAGCAGTGATGGCGAACCTTTTAGAGACCGAGTGCCCAAACTGCAACCCAGAACCCACTTATGTATCGTCGGGTGCCGGGTGGGTGTGGCCAATTGGGTGGGTGTGGCTCATTGGGTGGGCGTGGCTGCGGTAGTAACGGCAGACTGGGTGAGACTAAAAAGTTCAATTAATCAATTCCAACTTTGCGAGATCTTTTTTCCCCCCGCCAGAAGTTGAAATTGATTGATTGATTGAACCTTTTTTTTATTTTGCACACGGCAGCGGTGGCCTAAAGGGAAAAGGTTTTATAAAACCCATCTGAAGGCCTAGGACTGGGGCGATGGCGCGTGTGCCCACAGAGAGGGCTCTGTGTGCCACCTGTGGCACGTGTGCCATAGGTTCGCCACCAGGGGAATAGAGTAGAGTAGAATAGATATTAGAATATAGAATAGAATAGAATAGAAATTGGACTATAGAATAGAATAGAATAATAACTTTATTGTCCCTTTGAATGTACACTAACCAGCATGCATTAAAATGAAATTTCATTGCATTCAGCTCTCAAAGGGTCACCCACCTCCGATATACACTACAGAAATATGACAAAAATAATTACAGAATTATGCATATACCTATATGAGAAACAACCCAGTCTAGTTCAGGTTATATATATATATATATATATATATATATATATATATATATATTGCTGCTAGAAGTACGAAGCCAAAAACACCAGCCTGAAGATGACGAATGGGACGTTGAAATGTCGCCAAGACACTTCCAATTTTACGTGGGAGAAAACCCGAATAACCAAAGACATACATACATATATATATGTATATATATGTATGTATGTGCATGGCAAAAAACAAATCTTGTGAGTTTACCACACGGATGGCAAAGGGAACAAAGCTATTACAGAACTGGATAGTCCTGCTAGAAATACTTCAAAATCTCTTCCCAGAGGGGAGCAACAGAAACAGACTGTAAAGTGTGTGTGTGGAGTCTCTAACGATGCTACGAGCTCTAAGCACATATGGGCGCTTATAAGCCGTGTCCTGAATAACGGGGAAGCGAGCTTCCAATGATCTTCTCGGCTATCCTCACCACTCTGTATGGCCTTTCTATCTGAGGCTCTGCCGCCACCAAACCAGACAGTGATGCAGTTTGTTAAAATGCTCTTAATCGTGCCTCTGTAAAAAGTGGCCAGGACACAAGGAGAAAGATAATGATGTGCTGAATTCTGAAGAACTGTGGCACAAATGGATGTTCTGAGCATAACTGACTCCAGAACGAAGCCAACGCAGGTTGGACCATTCAATGGAAGTTTTGAGTTTCTAAATGTCTAGGGAGATTCTCGGTCATCCAGGTCACGGTTGTCCCAAAGGTGCTTTTACAAAAGGCAAAGGGGGTTTGTTTGTTTGTTTTCCTTGAAGATGTTTTGCTTCTCATCCGAGAAGCTTCTTCAGTTCTGACCGAAAACTTCTAATTCAAAATAAAACGTCTTGGTACTTACTGCTCCTATGCACAATTCATCATGCAAGTGGGAGAAAACAACACACAGCCAAAGGATTTTGGTCATGATCCAAGTCTTGAAAAGTGGACTTCTCTCATTGCTGGAACTTATGGTATGTCTAAGGGCTGGATAAAACCACCAGGATTTGGTCCTTCAAACACGGCCATTATTTGCAGCTCAGGGTTGAACTGTGGGGTCTTTGGTGCTCTCTGAGCTTGGCTGTTTTCCTGCAAACGTTTCATTAGCCAACTAGGGAATGTCATCAGTGCTACAAGGAAGTGGGGGCTGAGGAATGAAGGAGGAGAAAGAGAAGAAGGAGGAAGAAGAAAGAAAGAAAGAAAAGGAGAAGAACCATGGGGTCCTTAGTACTCTCTGAGGTTCTTGGTTTTCTTGCGGACATTTCATGACCCAACCAGGTCACATCATCAGTGACAGAAAGGAGGGGAATTGCTATCTGCTTATATAATTCTACTTCCTTCTAGCCCTGATGATATGACCTAGTTGGGTTATGAAACGTCTGCAAGAAAACCACCAAGCTCAGAGCATCAAGGACCTCCCACAGTCTTTCTTTCTTTCTTTCTTTCTTTCTTTCTTTCTTTCTTTCTTTCTTTCTTTCTTTCTTTCTTTCTTTCTTTTTCTTTCTTTCTTTCTCTCTTTCTCCTTCTTCTTTTCTCCTCCTCCTCCTCCCTCCTAATCCCATTACCTTCTAGCCCTGATGATGTGACCTAGTTGGGTGATGAAACGTCTGCAAGAAAACCACCAAGCACCTCCCACAGTCTGTCTGTCTTTTTCTTTTTATAATCACAGAAAATCCTTTCATCAGCCTTCCTCTATTTCTTTCTTTCTTTCTTTTCTTTCTTTTTCTCTCTCTTTCTCCTTCTCCTTCTTTTCTCCTCCTCCTCCTTCCTCCTAATCCCATTCCCTTCTAGCCCTGATGATGTGACCTAGTTGGCTGATGAAACGTCTGCAAGAAAACCACCAAGCTCAGAGAGCACCAAGGTCCTCACCCTGAGGTAAAACACACAGCAAAGGGGGACTGTGTGGAAATAAAGACGTTCACACCACCATGAGCGCATCTTCAGAGCAGCTTTTTATTTCTGCGCCCTGTTGGATATTAAAGTTTTCACCCCATCTCTGGATCAATGGCACCACCTTCGTTTACGCAATAATGGCATCCGGAGCTCGTAGGCCCTTGCTCGATTTCTTCCCCTTTCTGGAAGAGGTAGCAGGTGAATTTCTCGGACAGTTCTTCTCCTGATTCAGAACCTCTCCAAACAGACACTGGAGTTCGGAATCGCCGCTGACCGCTTGCTGCAAATGGCCGGGAGCAATCCGACGCCGCTGGGCCCCTATCGCAATGTTTCCGGCAATGTCCACCAAATCGTACGTCAGGTACTGAAGCACCGCGGCCATGTAGACGGAGGATCCCGACCCTATGCGCTCGGCGTAATCTCCTTTCCGAAGGAATCGGTCAATCCGGCTGACTGGGAAGATCAACCCTGCCCGACAAGAACGGGAGGTTTTCGGCTTCCTCCTCCGCCCTCTTCTACAGGATGCTTCTGGTTCCAGATCGTCAAAGCTCTCGGAATCACATTGATCGTCAGACATGTTCTACTCCTGCTTGGCACCCCACCCTGAAGTCTTCCCCCACTGCGTGGTTTGCGACGGTTTTGTGCTTATCTTACTGCTCGGCGTTTCTTCTGCCGGTGGTCTTCCTTTGAGTTTGATTTTGCCCTTCTGCCCTCTTGTCTTCTTTTGATCTTCCCGCCTTTGGATTTTCCTGGCCTTCCAGGTTAAGCTATCATTTGGAGGGCTGGCAGGAGGGGAAAAAATCCACGCATCATTTACCAGGGCCCTTTTATGACGTCATTAAGGACTAGCAACAAGGGTGCCGATAGGCCAGAGCGCAGCAAATAGGATGCCCAGGGCATTGTTACCCAGGCTGAAGATAGACAGGCCCTGGCTGAAGAGATGGGAGTTGAAATCTCTCCTTTGTACTTCCTTTGCCTCTCCAACCATTTCTGATTTTGGAGAGGTCATGATTGGCAAACCCAGCAAGGTGCAAAAAAAGATCTGGGCAGTAAAACAAGCCAACGTGAAGTGTCCACCATATCGCATTTGGAGTCTGGTGCTTTGACACCCAGCAGCCAAAAAAAACCCCAATGCAATCTTAGGTTGCATTAACAGAGGGATAGACTCAAGGTCATGGGAAGCTCTAGCGCCGCTTTATAAAGCTTTAGTAAGACCACACCTGGAATACTGCCTCCAGTTTTGGTCACCTTATTACAAAAAGAGAAGTGGCGACTCTGGAAAGCGTGCAGAAAAGAGCAACAAAGATGATCACGGGGCTGAAGGCTAAAACATTTGAAGAACGGTTGCAGGAACTGGGTAGTGAAAAGAAGGACTAGGAACAACATGATAGCAGTCTTCCAATATTTGAGGGGCCACCTCAAAGAAGAGGGAGACAACATGTTCTCCAAAGCACCAGAAGGCAGGACAAGAAGCAACGGATGGAAACTAATCAAGCAGAGAAGCAACCTAGAACTAAGGAGAAATTTCCCGACAGTGAGAACAATTAACCAGTGGAACAGCCTGCCTCCAGAAGTGATGAATGCTCCAACACTGGAGGTTTTTAAGAAGAGACTGGACAGCCATTTGTCTGAAGTGGTATAGGGCAGGGGTGTCAAACTCAATTTCATTGAGGGCCGCTTTAGCATTGCGGTTGCCCTCAGGGGGCCGGGTGGATGCGACCTACTGTGTGGGTGTGACCTACTGGGTGGGCATGGCCAGCTCTACATCGTTCGTGTCAAGGGTGCCTGTGGGGGCCTGGGCAGGAGTGGGACAGATCTGAGGGTCTCTGGCCGAAGGGGGTGGGATCGGGGCAAGCGCCAAGGCATGGTCCATTTCTTCATTCCTCACAAAGGGTGACACCTCCCCACATGCACCCAGGGGGCGGGGCTGACACGGCAGGGGCTGGTTCCTCACTGTTTCCAGACGGCCTTGTGGAGCTAAGACTGAATGTGTTTCAGCATAGGTGGCCACCACAAAATTGTACATTGGCTCCCGTCTGGCCTGGGCCAGGGCCAAGGCAGCGGGGGGCCGTTCCCTCACTGTTTCCAGGATGGCTTCGCGGGCCACATGAAACCATTTTGCGGGCTGCATCTGGCCCCCGGGCCTTGTGTTTGACATGTCTGGTATAGGGTCTCCTGCTTGAGCAGGGGGTTGGACTAGAAGACCTCCAAGGTCCCTTCCAACTCTCTTATTCTCTAATACTCACTTGCAAAGTGAGAGTCATAGCTCAGAAGTATTCTAATCAAGCCCCTTGCCCAAGTCAGGACTCTTCAAACCACCCCAGCTGGTCTTTTTTTCTTACTAGACGTCCTTCACCGTTGTCAGTATCTCCACAAAATGTAAACTGGCCAAGGAAATGGAAAACTACAAACAGAGCATTTTAGACATCCCGAAATATGTCAAAGTTTTCGTGGAAGAATGGAAGTTTCAAAAGCAAAGGAAAACACACTGCAATACAAACACTCCATCTGCATTAAAGAAAAAAAAAATTACATGGTTATATTTCGTGAGCCAGATTTACAAATGAGGGCGGATTGTTAAACAAGGTTATTTATCCACAGTGTGTCATAACTCTTATGTATACATATAAAATGCAAAAAAAAAAAAAAAGGTTTTAAGATTTTACGCAGAAACCTGATGGAAAACATTTGTTCTGCATTTGGGATGTTTCTGTTCCAAAACGCTAATGAAAGCATCTGCTTTCCTTCAAAAAATAAAGTAATTTAACTCTTCTTTTGCTGAAGCCAAGCACTTATCTGCATTTTCTGCCAAAGTTATCCAAATCCAAATGCCGAAAGGGAAAGAAGGTTAATCTGAAAACGTGAAAGCAGGCTTCAACACACCGTCTTTCTTTATATAAAAACAGCTGGGTAATTATTGTTTAAATTTAGGTTTAATACAAATAAGGGGCACTCTATATAATCTTAATAGAATACAATAAATAAACAAACACAGGTTTTGGAAGGGAAATGGAAGAAATAAGCGATTAATTATGGCCTCTCTTCCTTCTCTGACCTTTTTTTTTCCAGTTGCAACAGCAACATTTTGTGTTTTACCATCTACTAAAGTTGCCTGCCTCACTTTCCCTTATGTCAGAAGAAGGAAAATGGGATTCCCCAGATGTTTCTGGACTACACCTCTCATTATCCCTAGCCATAGATTATGGGAATTGTAGCTGAGGACCTCAGGAGATCACATCTAATACTAATCTCCTAAATTAAAACAATGTATGGATTCAATGAAGGAGAAATTTGTAGCTCAGGGGCTTGGTTGTTTTCTTGCAGACATTTCATTACCCAACTAGGTAACATCATCAGTGTTACTAAGGAGTGAGGTTTGCTCTGTTTACATTCTAGTCGTTACTAGAATTCCACTAGAATATGAGCAAATCCTTTCCCCTAATACAGTGGTTCTCAACCTGTGGGTTGGGACCCCATTTGGGGTCGAACGACCATTTCACGGGGGTCGCCAAACAAGGCTGTCCGCCATTTTTTCCCCCCTTTTCCTTAGCTGTGCTACTCCCTTTTATGCTATTGGCTTTTGAAAGCCAATAGAATAGACTCTCTTGAATAGAGTCTAATTCTATTGGCTTTCAAAAGCCAATAGGAATTGTCCGGGCTGTCTCTGCCCTGCTGAGCCCGCCAAAAGTCCCATTCTGCAAACGGTGCTGCACCAGTTGAGTAGTCCTCGACTTACGACTGGTTGAGTAGTCCTCGACTTACGACCGGTTGGGGGTCACGGCATTAAAAAGGTTGAGAACCAATGCCCTAATAGCACTGATGATGTTACCTAGTTTGGGTAATGAAGCGTCTGCAAGAAAAGAGCCAGGCTCAGAGAGCACCAAGCACCAAGTCTCCTCTGCTCCTCTTCTCTGCAAGCCCCACTCCCTTCTAGCACTGATGATGTTACCTAGTTTGGATAGTGAAACATCTGCAAGAAAACAACCAAACTCACAGAGCACCAAGGACCCCTCAATGTATGGATTCCATGTTGCTCAGTTCCAGCACTTCAAACCATTGAACACGATTGCCAAATGGCTCAAGCTTTCCAGCCCAGGACAGAATAATGGAGTTGGAAGGGATCTTTAAGGTCTTCTAGTCCAACCCCCCTGTACAATTCCAGACAAATGGCCGTCCAGTCTCTTCTTAAAAACTTCCAGTATTGGAGCATTCACCACTTCTAGAAGCAGGTTGTTCCACTGGTTAATTGTTCTGTCAGGAAGTTTCTCCTTAGTTCTAGGTTGCTTCTCTCTTTGATGAGTTTCCATCCCTTGCTTCTTGTCCTTCAGGTGCTTTGGACAATAGCTTGACTCCCTCTTCTTTGGGGCAGCCCCTGAGATATTGGAACACTGCTATCATGTCACCCCTCATCCTTCTCTTCATTAAACTAGTTATACATACTAAAAAGCAGAGACATCACCCTGCCAACAAAAGTGCGTATAGTCCAGGCCATGGTTTTTCCAGTTGCAATGTATGGCTGTGAAAGTTGGACCATAAGAAAGGCTGAGCGCCAAAGAATTGTGGCCTTTGAACTATGGTGCTGGAGAAGACTCCTGCGAGTCCCTTGGACTGCAAGGCGTTCAAACCAGTCAGTCCTAGAAGAGATCAACCCCGACTGCTCTTTAGAAGGCCAGATCCTGAAGTTGAAACTCAAGTACTTTGGCCACCTAATGAGAAGGAAGGACTCACTGGAGAAGGGCCTAATGCTGGGAAATATTGAGGGCAATAGAAGAAGGGGACGACAGAGAATGAGATGGCTGGATGGAGTCACTGAAGCAGTAGGTGTGAACTTAAATGGACTCCAGAAGATGGTAGAGGACAGGAAGGCCTGGAGGAACGTTGTCCATGGGGTCGCGATGGGTCGGACACGACTTCGCAATTAACAACAACAACAACAACCCAATTCCAGCAACCGTCCCTTGTATGTTTTAGTCTCCAGTCCCCTGATCATCTTTGTTACTCTTCTCTGTACTTTTTCTAGAGTCTCAACATCTTGTTTATATTGTGGTGACCAAAACCGGATGCAGTATTCCAAGTGTGCAAATATGGACATTATACGCAAAGGTAAATTTCATTAACTGTGACCTATCGTCTAGCAAATGAACTCATATCATTACGAGAGATGATGCTGGGGAGAGTGTAAAACTATTTTGGTGAAAAGAGCTAAAATCTCCCTCAACAATGAAGGTACAGTACCTCTGTCTTTCAATCGGCCAGCAAACCACACTTTTTTTTTCCCTGAGGTGTGCAAGTATATGTAAAATTCTCCACCTAGTATTTGTTCTTGAGCAAAACTATGTTAGCAATGTCTAACCTAATTAATGCACAACGATCAGTCGCCTGCACAAAAATATTTTTTAACACATTAAAGCCAAAATTCGAATGGAGGTTCGAAACCAACCAGAAACTATGCTTGGACGTGGCAAAATGTGATCGCCCGACTAAGTGGTCAAGCGAAGCAGAGAAGAAACTTCTTTTTAAAAAATTAAAATCCAGCTAGGATACTTCATTAAATAAGATGGTGAAGGGTAAATTTTTAGCATTCACCATCTTGGGCTACCAAGCAGCACAAAAAGCAAGTTATGTGTCTCTAAAGTTGTCAAGAAATTTTTGATGTTTTGCAGGAATTCGGCAGTTCCTTTCTAAAAATAATGTGTTACCTGTTTTAGAGTATTTAGACCGCTTTTGATGTATTCCCTGAAACACCTTGAAATCTTGAGGTAGGCAACCTTGGCTCTTTTATGACTCGTGGACTTCAACTCCCAGAATTCCTGAGCCAGCCATGCTGAGGGGAAAGGGAGAGGTTTCCAAGCTGAGCCATGCTGGCTCAGGAATTCTGGGAGTTGAAGTCCATGAGTCATAAAAGAGCCAAGGTTGCCTACCCCTGCCCTAAATCATGGTAGGATTTGAACAATATCCTTAATCTCTACACACCAACAACGAACAGCAGAAGTTCGACTGGAGCAACACAAAAATCATCGGCCATGCTACCACCTGCCAAACTTGTAAGTCCATCGAAGCTTGGCACTCCACAAGCAATCCCATCAACATACACGTCAACCTACAACCAGCCTACAAACACCTCAGAATCCAAATCAACTGCACAGCTGACCAGAGACAGCACTGACTCCCAACAATCCATGCAATACCCCCCAACCATCACTTCACCCCTCCATGAGCCTCACCTGACATGACCTCCCCATCACAAGACTCTCAACTATGTGACCCACACCTGACCCTTCACAAAACCCATCACAAGACCCTCAACTGATGTGGCCCACACCTGACTCATCACAAGACCCTCACCTGATGTG